ACTAAACATATCAAAAGTGAAAATTACTCACCTTTTTTAACATGTCTTCTTCTCGCAACCAGCGATCGCAACGCCGCTCTCGATTAGACGGCTGGAGCCACTGTGTTTGTCTGACAGTTCCGGGATGCATTATCCTCTAGACAACACATATCACTAACCATTTCGACCAACATAATTGTCGATACCAAACACCGACTGACAAAATCTCGACAACATGTGTAATAGAGATTTTGCCTCTAAGCCAATGAAATTGCCAGAAATCGATCATGTGATATTCCGCCAGTAGAGGCATGCGCTTTAAAGAGCAAAGAGCGATTCGACGACGAACCCGTCTCTTCCTGAAAGGAAGGCCGGGTAACAATTACAGTGGAACCCCGTTAATGCGACCACCGTTGGGCCATAAAATCCTGGTCGTAATAACGAGGTGGTCGCATTAACGGAGTCGTCAAAATAATAAAATGACTCAATGGTTTTTAAGTTTGGTTTGAAAGAATATGGCCGTAATAACGAGGTGGTCTTATAAACGGGGTGGTCGTAAGGCGGGGTTCCACTGTATTGAATTCGGCTTTCGTGTGATGTGAAGAATAGACCATTTTACAGTTGTGGACTTAGTACCCTAGCCTTTGAGTGAATGTGAGGCTGACGGTGACCTTGTTTTGATACAAACCTCCTTTGCTTTGTTATGGAAATTGTCCTTGAAAAATACTAGTTAGCATACGAATAACTTGATTTACATAATAAAACAAGAAGGATTGTATCAAAACAAGGTCAACTCCAGCCTCGCCTCCATCCATAACTGTAAAATGGCCTATTATGTAGATCTCAGAGGATTTTTATATCGACCGAGGTTGAAGGCCGAGGTGGATCCTCCTCGATCTGCAAACTCTTAACATCCCACTTAGACTCGGTAATTGCTAAATACCGTAATATATAGATTTAGCCAGGGCTAAAAGCGAGGCTCTCATTGGTATATTTATAATTTAAATCAAACAATAAACTTGTATTCCACAATTCAGTTAACTTTAGAGCACATAGCACATTCATGTGACTTTTGAGGGAAAGGCTAAGTGATTTTAAGAAAAATCATTTGCAAACAGCCCAAAATTGAACAAAATCTTGCATCGAGTTGATAACCTCATATGTACAACCAAAAAATAGCAATCATCTTCGATCACATTTAAGAGCCATAATGGCTCTTGATCACCGTAAGATTAATTAGGCCTGGAAAAAAATCAGGTCGAATTTTTTTGCGTTCGACAAGTTTACTTTACAAAATCTTGCCAACAAATCTGGTTGCGTGTAAACCAACCTTTTATACCATTTATACATCACACAGTGAGGTGAAACAGTACTATGAGGTACTGTTTTTATCATACAGACCTCGGGCAGAATGCAGTATTTCACAATTTTGCAACACAAATTGTAACCACGCGTGGGGTTTTAGCTAAACCGTTAAAAAAATTTCCAAAATCACATATATGGCCAGCCGGTTCTCACGTTTGCAGTGCGAGTTGTAGCGAATGTTTGAACGAACATACTAGAGTTAAGCTCCAACATAGTAAAGAAATTATTATGTTTATTTTCTATTTAATGGTTTTATCGATGTGTAACCTTTAAAAGCGTTTGATACGCGCGGCATTTTGAGTACTCCTGCAAGGGATTGAACGGCGGACTGAAAACAAACGGCACGGCGATTAAAATTACAATTACAATAAAAGAAATATAATTCGGCGAAACATATACAGAGACAACATTTTTCATTCACGAAGACAAGTATTAAAGTGTCTCTAAAAATCCTGAGTCTTCAAGCTTAAAGCTTAAGTTTATGTTTTAAGCCGGCTTCCCGGTATTTACTTTTTTCAAAGATGAACTCGAGGCAAGAAAATCGCTCAAAGCTTTCTTTTACAGCCAGAATTATAACTTAATGTTCTTTGGAACGTTTTCTTTCTATTTGCGGTGAGAAAATGTCTAAAAACTTTTTAAAGTTGTAAAAGCTTATATCAAACCTAATTCTTGATCAGATCAAATTGTCTCAAATCCTACAACCGTGCATAAACTACATAGCCGCATAAACTACGCTCGACTTCATTAAATTAGATATAAAAAAACAAACATCAAACACAATAATTACTGAGGCTTACCATTCGAGATGCAGCTCCTGAAGGGTACCAAGTAACGCCAGTATCGCTTCAGACCTTTAGGCATCAAGCAAGGTGAAAAACGAAAACGATGCCATCCGAAATCGGATTCTCGACTATGACAAGTGATGTATTATTTCTCAACCAAAAACCAACTAGCCATGAATAACAGAAGACTCCTGATAGCAGCTGAATTTCATTTTGTGCATCCAGTGGAAAAAGACAGTTAAAAAGATCACAAGTTGACACAAAACTCTGTTAACTTCAGCTGTCCAAGTAAACAAGATTCAAGGTGCTGCATAAATTTTCCGCATGAGCTCATCTGTCAAATTTGACCAATCAGAGCATAAAAAAATGGACGTAGAACGTGACCAACGCGTGACCATGGTGAGCAAAGTCAAAAGCAATTGTCTTCCCTGCCTGTAATAGCTGGCTGAATTTTCGGGTCCAAGGTCAGTTTTAAATCAAAATTTTAATTGTGCGGCCCAAAAACAAATCAGATTTCATATGAAGGAAAAAAAAATCAGACTTGAGCCTGCGATCATTTGAAAACTAGTAACTTGTCAGCGGATAACTTCAAAAAAATACTTGACCTCGATGGGTCAACACATGAGCCCGCGATACGGTCAAGTGATACTGGTCAGCGGATACCCTGTTTTGACATCTGTCAATTGATCACAACATTGATGTCCAATGGATGTGTGCATTATCAGTTTTTCTGTGCTCTCAAATAAGCTAGAAAGTATGAGATTGAACATTGATCGCGATCTAGTAAAACGACTGGTCAGCGGACAGCTTCCAAATAAATCACATCACCTTGATGAGTTGACACATGGGTCCTCGATATGGCAATGTGATACTGGTCAATGGCTATTCTGTTTTGACAGCTGTTAATTGAACATATTGTGAATGGCCAATGTAAAAGATGTGGATTTGCCAAGACACGCCTGAGACACCCCTCCCTTTCTTTTGATAGTCTCCCCTACCCTACCCGTACAATCTGTAGACGCGTACGTACGTACGCTCGGTCAGTCACGTGACAACCAAAAGAAAAGAGGTTGACCATATTCTATGAGTATGGGGCTCTGTCCTCGCGCGCGAAGCCCCGCTAAAGTTCCGAAAATAAGCCCCTCCAAATATAAGCCTCCCAAACTCGTAACGCAGAAAACCCTCCGTTAAATCGCCCCTCCAAATATAAGTCCCCCGGGGGTCTTGTACTTGGAAATTGCCCTCAAATGCAAAGTAAAACAAAGCAAAAACGGTAAATTTCCTTCCAACTATAAGGCTAGCCGAATCGATTTTGAAACGCAAATTTCCCTCCGTAGATAAGCCCCTCCAAATATAAGGCCTTCAAAATGGGCCTTTGAAAAAAAATAAGCCTGCAGAATTTTAAGGTATTTTTTGTGTAGGATTGACATAATATTCTGGCTCTTTTACGGCAGGAGTTGTTCAAGACCGGAACGGTCCCATACGACGGCGGGGTATGGATTTGTATGCTACGCCAAACGTGGCAAAATATCAAAGATGCAACTTTATAATTCAAATCCACCAATTCACTATCAAGATCGATAAAATTAACATCAATTTGCTTGTTGAATGTGTCAAGATGGTATAATTTAATGTCAATTCCCACGTGTTTCATGTCATGTATCAAGAGACACGTTTTCTAAATCAAGATGCACGTTTTTTAAATCAAGAAGGGAGACGACAATTTTTGATCAGTTTTGTTTCCGAGAGGGACTGAAACCGAAAAAGCTGCCATGCTCCTTGAAGAATCCCGCCCATTCTTGCCCATTCCCGCATTCCCGCCCTCCCGCGTTAGACATGGCAGAGGAAGGAATCGAAGAACTTGTCAGAAGAATCATTCGATCAGCACAAGAAGGAATTAACACATCTCGAGCTAACGTGGCCTCAAACGTGTCAACACCTGACGAAGAACTGAGGCGGCGATTTAACTTGCCACGTAGAAGTGAAACTACGACAAGCAGCACGAATTCGTGCAGCACATCGACAGAAACCTTGACAAGCTTACAGTACACGTATAACCCACAAGAAAATTACGGTCATACAAACCCTAGAAGACAAAGAAGACAAGCTCCATACTACTCAAGAAATCGAGGGCGACCAGTGACGAGACCACAGACTGCGACTGCCCCAAAATATCCTCCAACCTTAAAGGAGGCCATTTTATTGCCAAAACCATCATGGGGTAAGGTCCCCAAATATGCGAAAAAGGCAAATTTACAGGAAAAAGGATTTATCCTCGATTGTTTTCCAATAGAGAGACACTGGTCCGAAAGCGAGCTGAAGGAAAGATTAACCGTGGCATTTGGAGATAAACTACGTGGAGGTGGGGGAGAGAAAGTTGGGTAAGCTCAATGACCCTTATTTAAACTGCTAAAATTTGTCTTTGCATGATCTTCTTTCCAAGGAAATCGCTCAGTCAGATGCAAACTCACTGCTGATGCAGTTCAAGCAGCTCACTTTAAGATAGGGTATATATATCAGAGAGCTTGGGTCTATAATGGGGTATCATTTTCCAGGCAACTGATCAATTGGTTGAAGATTTTAGTTTAGAATAGGGAAACCAAGCATTGGCACTCCAAATATAAAAAAGTCAAACCGCTTTTTGTAATGTAGTAGGCTGCTAAGTATGATGGGATAGGTTGACCATGTGCTTTTGATATCAGTAGCAATGCTACGGTTGCAATGAAATTGGTTGAATGGGATCCCTGCTTACCTTGTTAGCAAATTTTCAAAAACCTCGTAGAGGATTTTAGGAGATGTTTTTTTTTTCTTTTCAGGTTTGATTTTGTGAAAGTGATAGGAAGTAGTCTGTATCCAATAAATCTTCCAATAGGAATGGACTTCACAGCTAAGGTTCTTCTCGGAATTGTAAAGCAAGGGTCAGTGTATCTAAGGAGTAGGAGATCTCTTGAAGTTGTAAGTTATTTTTGTACGTGGATTGTAATTATAATCTGTTGAAAGAAATTAATACTTCAAACTCTAATATAAAAATCTAACTTCTCATTTGCTGCCTTCATGCTAAGAAGTAATGGTGATATCTTCTTAAAATGAATATCCAGCAAATTAATTGGATCTTGTGTGGTTTGGGCAGCCCTCGGCCAAGTATCAGTCAACACAATCGGCTGATACTATCCACCGATACTTGGCCAAGGGGTGCCCAAATTACACAAGAGCATTATTTATTTCGTGCGATTACTTTTTGAAGTTCTGTAGCCACTTTGTTTCATCAAGCATTGAAGAGAGAAAGGAGACATGTAATGCAGGTCACTCTTAGGGCTTAATTTATTCTCATGACTAAGTGTGTGTCTAAACTAAGTAATGACAGTTGGGGGGCCATTAAAACTCCTGGGGGGGGGGTGGAATTAGCTCTTTGACTAAAACTTTCCTAACAGAGAGATGTACATGCCAGTTTTGTGATATCTAAAATCAAAGGTTATTGAGGCCATCACCTACATTGTTAGGTAGAGTAAGGCAGCTTTTATAGTAGTTCTCAATATGGTCCTAACCCATCTTCACATCTCTCTGATTTGCAACTACATTGTGATTGTTATGCAAGATACACTGTACATTGAATTTACTCTAGTTTTCACTGAGACTATAGATTACCAGTGTTGTAATGACACATTCTCCATCAATCTGAAGGGTGAAGACAGTGACAGTGATTGTGAGGAAAATGAGGATGACCTGCCGCCTGCTTTTGCTTACACACAGCAAAATGTGTGTAGCACCTTTACAGAGCAAAATGGATTGGAAGAAAGGGATTCATGTACAGTGAACACCATTTTGCCATATGTTGTCCAGCAAAATCCTTCAGTGGAGCAAAGACCAGCAACATGTCACTCTGACGACAATCATTCCAACCCTAGCAGTTCCCGTATATTGGAAGAAAGGGCTTCATGTTCAGTCAACACCATTCAGCCATATGTTGTCCAGCAAAATCCTTCAGTGGCACAAACACCAGCCGCATGTCCCTCTGACAATAACCATTCCAACCCTAATAGCAACTCAGGTATATCTCTTGGGTGTTTTCTTAAGGTAGAAGGCAAAGGTATAAAATTTCTCTCTATTTCTCATGTCATGGAGATGGAAGCAAGGAGACAGTGAAATTTAGATTAAATAGCTTGACTGTACAGCTGTATGTTAATTTGCCAAAAATATGCTGCCATAAGGACCTGTTTCAATTTCATACTGAAATATATGAAAATTTGCAGGTGTTGATGACCTAAGTTTAGAAAGAAAACATAAGAAGCTAATTAAGATGTCCCTCATGCTTTTCATAGTTGTTTTAGAAGCAGCTGCAACATCAGTGTTTGCAACATTACAGGGTTTCATTTTACCTTGATCCACCAATGCACTGTACATCAACAGAATACTGATAATCAAGCGTACAATAAAGTTAATAGCCTTGTTTTCACCTTGTTGTGCTACATGTATATGACCTCTGGAAACAGGCATGAGTATGCAAAGATATGTTGAAAGCATATCATAGGTTTTGTTCTTTATTTCTAAATTGCATTTAATGGACTGTTTCTAGATTGTATTGAGCAACTGACAGTGATGTTCCCAGACATGACCCGTGAATCCTTGCAAAGTACTCTACAGGCCTGGAACTATGACATCCACAGGGCTGTCACTTCCATATTGAGTAACAAAGAAGGTATTGGCTAGTAAAATGTTTCAAGCTAAGCTTTTTCACAAGTTTTTATTGATGTTGTTTTTTTTACAAATGATGTTGTTTTTTTACTGTTGACAGAAACTGAACATAGTGATGATGATGATGTCCCTCTAAGTGCCTCCTTGAATGTGTCCCCCGAATTAACGGTGAAAGAATTCAGGGATCATATGGTTGACAAATATGTTCCTGAGAAAACCATCAGAGCTAGTCACGACTCCAACATTTTGAGAGACATGTTTAGATATTTGAAGTCGAGGCAGTTCAACCTGAGGGCAAGGCCAAATGTTGTGTTTGACGGTGAGGATGGGATGGATGCAGAGGGACTTACCAGAGAACTTTGCCACATGATAATGTCCAGCATGCGAGATGGTAAAGGTGGCATCATTCTTTTTGAGGGGCAGATAGACCATCTCATTCCTGTTCATAATGAACAGTATTTAGCTTCCCAATACTATAAGTATGCAGGTCAGCTGATAGCATACTGTTTTATACATGCTGGGTTTGGTATAACTGGATTGTCACGGGCCATAACAGAATATTTGAAGACTGCTGAAATGAATGAGTGCCTTCCATATGTCTCAAAGGATGACATCCCCGACCTGGATATACGTGAGAAACTAAANTTTTTTTACTGTTGACAGAAACTGAACATAGTGATGATGATGATGTCCCTCTAAGTGCCTCCTTGAATGTGTCCCCCGAATTAACGGTGAAAGAATTCAGGGATCATATGGTTGACAAATATGTTCCTGAGAAAACCATCAGAGCTAGTCACGACTCCAACATTTTGAGAGACATGTTTAGATATTTGAAGTCGAGGCAGTTCAACCTGAGGGCAAGGCCAAATGTTGTGTTTGACGGTGAGGATGGGATGGATGCAGAGGGACTTACCAGAGAACTTTGCCACATGATAATGTCCAGCATGCGAGATGGTAAAGGTGGCATCATTCTTTTTGAGGGGCAGATAGACCATCTCATTCCTGTTCATAATGAACAGTATTTAGCTTCCCAATACTATAAGTATGCAGGTCAGCTGATAGCATACTGTTTTATACATGCTGGGTTTGGTATAACTGGATTGTCACGGGCCATAACAGAATATTTGAAGACTGCTGAAATGAATGAGTGCCTTCCATATGTCTCAAAGGATGACATCCCCGACCTGGATATACGTGAGAAACTAAAACAGGTAGATCCTCTCCTTTTTGCCCTGGATATAAACATTTGACAGGCAATATTAACTTTGTTTTTCTTACAAGAAAGGAGGAAGTGCAGGGGAATACTGCCATGACTGCAAAACAAAAACTATGGGTGGTATATGCATAAATAAATTATATGTTCAATGTCATTCCAAAATAGAGTTTTTTTGAATAATTTTTGTAAGTACCTTGCTGAGTGAAATAAGCTGCTCTTAAAAGTTTTTAGTTACTTAATATCTCAGAGGCAGCTAAAAGGTTGGAGAAGATGGTCTGCCTATAATTAACTCCCTCTGCCCTCAAAAAGCCCAAAAGCTTTGAGTCTCTGATTTCCAAAGTCTATAACCTATTGTACAATATTTTTGTGTAAAACTAATATTTCCTCATTGATAAAAGGCAAACTCAGGAGGACAGTCATACTTCCATTTTTTCAGTTTAATATGGATGTACACTAGTAATAGGGAGCTTAAGCAATGACGATGGCAATGTTAACGGAAAGGGCAAAACATCGATAAGTTTAGATTGGTAAAACAACAACTTTGCATGTGCATGTTGTTACTTGAGTTCCCTAATCTTTAGTTCTCCATTTATTTTTATCAGGCAGCAGTCTGTTACAGTATATTTACTAGAGTTTCATATAATTGAGGTTTCTTTCCACTTTAGAGAGGAGGTGAGAGTGAGGAGACGTTGTATAATGCCATTTATAACGATGACAGCATACAGCTCCTCCTCATGCAAGCAGGCTTTGCCAATGAATTGGTCAAGCTAAACAACAAACACAGAGCGTGCCAAGCAATCATCCTCCACCTTGTATTCAAAACAAGAAAGGAGGAACTCGATCAGTTAAAAAGTGGTCTTGAAAGTCTCTCTGTGATAAACTTTCTCAAGGTTTCTGACGGCTCTTTAAAGTATGTGTTCCCTTTACAAAGTGAAGCAATGGTCACCAAAAATGATTTCTTAAAAGTGATTGAAACATCTGTTGACTCTCTGGAGGGTGATGAGAAAAAAGCTTATGATTGGTTTGTACAATATGTACATGAAGTAGCAAACACGGGTAATGTTTAAACTTATATTATCATCTACTTTATTCTTTTGTATAATGTGCAGATGACACAACAACAGTCATGACTCATGAAATACAGTACTGCAAAAGCCATTCCGAACTTTTGAATGTCCTATTAACACTGGCCCAGAATACAGCATACTATCTTTTATAAATTATTTATAATGTGCTGTTGGTTTAAGCAAGCCAGGATGTTATTATTTATTTTTTTGAATCTGAGTATTCAGTTTCAAACGAAAAAATAAACACACTCGTTAAAAAAATAACTTTTTTCACAATGAACCAGGATGTACAAGTCCACTTGTTGAAATTGAGAGAAGCATAACTTACAGAATCAACTTCAGAAATGATTCTTTTGTTTGGCAATACAGAGGAGAGGTGTGATGTCATGTGACCACGGTATCACTTTTTTCTGGATGACAACAAAACCAACGACAATGGTGATGGAAAGGAGATCGGCAAAAAATAATATGATTTTATTAACAAACAACAACTTTGCACGCTATTTGGTACATTTCTTTGCCGTCGTTGCACCACTACGATATGGAACCAATTAACCAAAAAAAAAAGTTAAAAAAATTATCGCTTTCATTTTCTTAACTTTGAAATTGAATAAGATTGGTGAATCTTGAAATTGTGTGAATAGACTTTTTAAGTGTCTTTCTCGGTTTGTTGTCTTCCAAAAATTTTGCTACCATGGAAACGTGATGTAGCAACCTCTCCTCTCTATTTTCTGACTCGTTAGCCTGCATTATGATCATTATTGTCCCCATGTTCACAGTGTCAGCTGAGGCAAAAGACCAGCCTTTCAGTTCACTTCCAACACTGGCTCAGTTGGTTCAGTTTGTGGCAGGACATCCTTATCTACCTTCATCTCGGATGAACATCAGTTTCAGTGCTATGGTGTATCCAGATGCAGATACATGTTTCTTCAGCCTTCGATTACCCACTATCTACAGCAGCTATGACGAATTCAGGAAGGCTCTTAATACTGCCATTACATGCCAGCATCTTGGTTATGGAAGGGGTTAAAGGCTGGGGAGTCAACAAAAAAAACTGTTTGTTTTTGAATAAGGCATTCTTCAGTTTGGAACGTTTTGTTATGTTAAGCTCTCTTGCTCAAAATAACACGAAAATTTGTTTCATGTTGTTTACCAACAAATTTGAGATCTTTACTGACCTAATCTTTGTAGCGTAACATACATTGATTTGATTGAAAATTAGACTTCTAGATTTGACAAGACTTGAATTTAATTGTTTGATTAATGGTTCAAAATTTTTTGAGTTGAAGTTCATTGCTGTATGGTATTGAAATAATCATGTATTCTTGTTTTTTGTTTACCAGTAGTTGACAGTATTTCATTAATTTGATGCATGCTAGGAATGTTCCATTATATTATGACGTTGATGGTGACAAAGTTCATCCCAGAAAGAAACATTAAAAAAAAAAGAGGGAAAAAATTTTCACTCTAATCCGTCTTATCATAAACAACCCACATTTTGTTGCTAGGGTTGTAGCTTAATGGTAGTTTCTAATGGTGTATTCCTGTATGTGGCTACTGTCTTAGAGAGAGTACTATTCCCTAACATGATTTTCCATCAAAACTACCTGATGAGCTCCCGATCTTACATGCGGGAACCAGGACTAGTGAATTTTGCTATGGGGCTTGCAAATTCTGTCTTTTACTTGCCTGACATAAAAGTGAAGTGTTTTGGGGAATTAACATTACAGAGGAACTGTAATCAATCCTGCTCATAGAAGTATAGTTCGAGCTAGCAAAAATTACTCTTACTCTAGTACAGGCTAGCTGTAGCTTGCCCAAATGGCAAGCTGTAAAACTGAATTTCCTTGAACCTTGAGCAATTACAACATTTGAGCCAGCAGCCATAATGATATTCGTTGGGGTCCATTGTTCTGATGTTTAGTTCTCTCTTTTATCTTTTGGCTAAAGGTTGCCAGTAACTGTACTGATGCCTGTACAGGGAGAATTCATTGCTAAGAAACAGTAATTGCACTTNATTACAGAGGAACTGTAATCAATCCTGCTCATAGAAATATAGTTCGAGCTAGCAAAAATTACTCTTACTCTAGTACAGGCTAGCTGTAGCTTGCCCAAATGGCAAGCTGTAAAACTGAATTTCCTTGAACCTTGAGCAATTACAACATTTGAGCCAGCAGCCATAATGATATTCGTTGGGGTCCATTGTTCTGATGTTTAGTTCTCTCTTTTATCTTTTGGCTAAAGGTTGCCAGTAACTGTACTGATGCCTGTACAGGGAGAATTCATTGCTAAGAAACAGTAATTGCACTTGTTAAAAGATGCCTTTACTATTCTCAAATGGACTACAAAGGCATGAAGTAATTTCTATGTTACAGTTGAGTACAGAAGCCAGGTTGGTTAATACATAAGCCTGCTGAGCTTTCCCTTAACTACATCCCTACCATTGTTCAATCAGACATAAGACAGACATAAAAAGGCTGGGGGGATTTTTTATTTGATGCAGTTTAGTGATACAAAACTAGCTGAGGGGAACTTCTACCTAGGCACTACATGTCACATTTCAAAGAGTCAGGTAAACGAAATTACTGTTTTGGAAAAAAGTCTGGAAAAAGTGTGGAATTTTGGATTCGTAAATCTGAACAAACCCCGTAAAAAAGCCAAATTTCAATTAGTTTAGAAATTTACTGACCTTTCAACAGTTTTTAACATTCCTCTATAAATGTTCAATTCTTCCAAGTACTCCCAAAGCTGTCAAGTAAGACATTATTCCATGCTCATCTACAGGCACTGCAGAAACCTCTTGTCTTAGTAATAGCACTTCAGCATTAGACAATTGTATGGGTGATTCAGGAACAGAAACTGTCTCACTTACTTCTATAGAGGGTACAGGACCTTCCTCTTCAATACCAAATTCCTCAAAATTTAAATTTTCACCCTCAATAACATCTCTGACTGCAGATAACTGAGAGCTGCGTAGCTGAAGCATTCCTTGTGTCCACAGCTGCCTGGGACTGTAGTTTGATTCTGTTGTGACAGGATGGTCATTCCATTGTCGTGATAGTTCACTAAGTGCTACATTTATCAGTGGAAGAAATACGAAGTGTAGTGCATAAATATGAGTCTCATTGTTAGGGTCGAAAGCCCCCCTGCTTTCCAAGAATAAAAATACATTCAAGAATCTGGACACTACGATTCTGTTAACTTCTCTCCATAAGCGTTCAATCCGTTGATTGTGTACTGAATTTCCAGTTATGATACTGCCCCTGTTCATTCCTCTTGTTTGTATCATAAACCTTCCAACCTCTACATTTTCCAAACCCCTGTCACTTCGTACTCTCGATGGAACATTGTAATAGCTGATAGCCTGTCTAAAAAGTGCCAGTACAGTACTTGCACGATTATTTGTGGAAGCATGAAGATAGACAACTAATCTTGAAAAACCATCAATTCCACCATGTATCACAATACGATATGGTTCAATCAACTTATGGTCACCATCGATGTGCCTGTGAAAGGAAGGCAGAGGTGTAAGTACTTCTATATAAATATACTAGGAACTTTGGCCCGGATAAGAGCCAAATTTACAAGCAATATAAACATGCATGGAGGTCAATCCCTAGTAACAAATTATGCCTGTTCTCTTGGATTTCAAACAATTTGAGGCAAATGTTCCAAATCTGTTATGAAAATAATCCACAAGGTTTGCTGTAAGAAAATGTTACATGTTATTGTAGTACCTGTGTAAAAATGAATTAACTTTCTAAGCCGCATGTTTCCTTCAAATTCCTTTCCCCCTTCAAATACTTCTACCACCCACTATCTCTTTATTTCCCCTTTATCAAGCCTGTATCCTGCCTACAAGGCTTCAGCAACATCACAAAAATAAATCAATAAAATATCAGACAGTAAGGTACCATATGAATATTATAAACATACCACAAGGAATTTGGACCCGGCACTTGGTAGGTTCGAAGAATGATTCTTCTAGATTGTCTTAACACTGACATGACTGGGTCAAGTCTCTGAAGTGCTTCAATGACACGACGCCTTTGTATTCTCAATCCTCTTGATCTTAGCGCTCCCTGAACCAAACCGACACCTGACTGTGGGGTAACTGAAAGGATGCCTCTTACAATATTGTCCAGGTCTGCGTCGGACAAGGAGGAAAAATTATGCTGTTGACCGAGTGGCATACCAAATTCTTGCCTCCGCCGATTAAGTGTCCTAGGAGACATCCCTAGCATCCTTGCAATATCTACCCAGCGAAACCCCAATGCCTCTCTTAGTCCATGAATTTGCTCTTGCCTAATTTCAAATCTAGGCCTCCCAGGATTACCTGACCTTTCGAGAATAAATAACTGTGAATTCTGCGTAGTACTTAACTCTTCTGTACTGCCTTGATAATGATAGTCACTGTATAGTGTTGCAAGTGATTGTAATCTGGAGTCTACTACCTGCATTAAAAGTTCCAAATCTTGGGTAAGCTGATTCCCCTGAACCGACTCCGTAACTCGACCATACATCACCCGCAAAGTGCGTTGATATTCCTCTAGACGTCTTGCAAGAAATTCTGCGTGCCCCCCATCGGTATTTTCGTTCAAACAGTCCCCGCACTGATGCAAAAGGGAGAGCAAACCTTCGAAAAATTCATTTGCATTTGGAATATAGAAACGATTAGAAGCCATCTTGAATTCCAGCCTGTGTGCTCGGTTTCAGTCCCTCTCGGAAACAAAACTGATCAAAAATTGTCGTCTCCCTTCTTGATTTAAAAAACGTGCATCTTGATTTAGAAAACGTGTCTCTTGATACATGACATGAAACACGTGGGAATTGACATTAAATTATACCATCTTGACATATTCAACAAGCAAATTGATGTTAATTTTATCAATCTTGATAGTGAATTGGTGGATTTGAATTATAAAGTTGAATCTTTGATATTTTGTCACGTTTGGCGTAGCATAATACCTGACTGAGGGGATTAATCCTTCTCACAACTTTTCACATAATGTTATGAAGAGAGTGACAGGGGTCACACAATAACATCCAAAAAAACCGACTAAATCGATGAACTCACACACACACACAAAAGCAGGAATACATCAAAGATAGGTCCCCTGTATTTATCTTATTGAAAAAAGCGTAAAAATAATGATGTTTAGTGTTTGCAGACCTCAGTATTTTATTCCTCATACAAAGCCTCAGCGGTTGCCTGTAACGCGACACCGACTTTGTTGTGAGAAAGTAAATTTACATAACATACTCGTAACGTGGGCTTGGGACGCATGTGCTCTCAGCTGATTAATTTCAAATGTGTGATCCGGGGGCATTCCCATATAAAAGTAACGGGATGCTCGTCGGAAAATTCATATTAAACCCCAAGGGAGAACAATGTGGATGTGGCTCAAGCTTAAACAGACCCCTAAGAGAGATTTCTGTGTGATCAAACACAGGGCATTTTTTTGTAAATTTCTTTATGCACAGTGCTAAGCGATACCCTAAGTGAGACCAAAATCTGCAATTTACACCCCAAAATGAGACGACGAGCATCCCCGTCACTTTTATATGGGAGTCTCCCCGGGGTAAGGTCCGCGAGCTGTACGAGATGAACGGAGGTGGCGAGGAGTGACGAAACATTAACAGTGTACGACACTCCTCATTCATTGTAGATTTATCACCCTAAAGGCATCGTTAAAAGAGACAATATCGTCCGCCAAGTCATTGCTTATTGGATGAAAGTAAGAAGAAAACGGATAATGACCTGAAGCCTACCTGTTTGCATTGCATTCCGCATGTTTGCTCCGGCTATTTCTGCCGCGACAACAACGGGCAAAGAAATCATCCGCTTCCTGTTACTAAGTACGCAGACGGTGGAGCCCTCCCTCCCGTTTTGGAAGGATCAAGTTTTCTCATGGTTTACCACAGACTCGATCTCCCCCGCTCTCTTCAGTCCCTTTTTATGGGGGGGAGGTAAGGGGGACGAGCGTGGGCTCACTTTCAGAACCGCGGCTGATAGTCAAGCCAGGGTCTTCCACCATTTACGCGTCATAACTTGAGCGTGGTAAAACTGATTATACTTCCTGTTCATGAGTGCTCCGTATCACCTCAAATGGTCGCCCACACTCACCATAAATAATTGAATTAGCTTTCGGGGAGCTTGTTAAACTATTTTAGCCGAAAGGGGGTGCGTTTTTTTTGTTTCTGAAATTTCGTGTACAAGACTGAGATGTTGGCTTTGTTTCGAGTATGCGGAATTAGAAACTTATCTTCTCCTAGCCTGTTCCAGGCGTTCAGATGATGGTAATCTTCTCCTGGTAAAACCACACTTTGTGTGCAAATATGGGCTATTATATTGCGCTCGCTTAATTTTGGTCTTCCTACCAATTTACCTTTAGTGAATTCCTGGATCGGAACCTTTTTGAACTGATTATTCGTCCTGGAGCGATTTTACTACCAGGCTTTTGTTAAAACCTCAACTTCCATCTGTAAACAACATGATCATATTTCACTTTCTTCCTAGCTTCCCATTTGAAAATAGTGGAGAAAAGACTGCAAATTGGACAAATATTCAAACAGGTTGAAACTATAACTGAAAAAATATTTTCTGTATTTCAAAAGGGAAATCGTCTGTCGTCCTCATTTAAGAATGCATAATTCATTGTCTGACAACTTACTGTGAAGATCTTAACCGAGCTAGTTATGTGCATTGACTCCTGTGGAAAGAGTAAGATCTTATGAATGTTACAAAAAGAAGACAAAAAATACGATTTTGTCACTTAAATTTGCCTGTAACACTTATCTCGGGTCCATGAGCAATAAATGGTTGCATGATCAATAAATGGCAATTTTTAGCTGCGAAACTATAGCCAAGAGGGTAAATTATGCCTAGCAGTGTTTTCTTCGAAAATACATGAAAATTCTGCTCGTAATGACGAATCATGCCAAAAATTATGCTAGCACAATCTATCAAAGCCTAGTAGGGGGTGAGAGACCTTTGCGGTCTGGAATCTACAGGGTACAAAAAAAGCCATGGTGGAGAGCAAGGGAGGCGCACCGGCTGGGACAAGACAAGCAAAGGAAATTAGAGTGGTTTTCGTTTGAGTGTCGTAAAACCAAAACCAAAGTAATTACTCTGGCCAATCACATAGGACACAGACAATACATTGAACCAATCAAAACTCGAAGTAATTACATGTGGCTGACGCAAAGCGCGGGAAAATGCATGCGAGCGCGTCACAATTGGCTTTGGTTTTAC